CCCCTCCCCCCTCTCTCTCCCCCTCCCTCTCTCTCTCTCTCTTTCTCTCCCTCTGTCTATCAGATCAAAGCCCATGACAAAGGATCAGTATGATCAACAGAAGATTGAGCAGATTAGAAAAGAAGCCGAGAGACAAAAAGATCTATCAAAGAAATCCTTTAAAATGTTCAAGAAGCGTTGTGCTGCTGGTAGCCACACCTCCTCAACCCTGGCTCCATTGAAACCCAAAGCCCCCACTCAACCGGTTGAGTTTCATTTCAAAACGGACGAGAGGTTTAAGAACACGCCTACCAGTCACGCCTCCTCATCTAACGAGTCTCCATTTCCTAATAATCTTCGTGTTAACGATAAACCAGAATACATCCCCAACGATCCTTCAGAGGTATGGATGTACATGTACTTACATGTACATACATGTATATGTACCTTTATTCTATTATTTGTACTACATGTAATGTATGCACGTACATAAATAAGACTTTTGTTATTAAAATTTTTCCTAATAACAAATATAATTTCACACCTTCATTGCATTTGTACATGTACATGTGAGTATCAAAATTTGTCCATTGAAAATTATACCCACTATTTTGCAGCCTTTATTCTCTATGAATTTATGTATATACGCTATTCTAAATTTAAAATTGTTTTAATCTCCTTTTCTTTCTCTATTATTATTATTATTATTATTATTATTACTCCTTTTCTTTAGAGGAAGCCCTCAACCCCTAGAGCCCCCACTAAACCGAAGCCCTTTAAGTTCCAAACTGAGACTCGTATTCGCTCCAGAGGTATCACTCCGCCCACTGATAAATTTGTATCGAGAGCCGAATTCACAGAGAAATACGAGAAAGGGACCCCACCTAGGTTTAGGATGAAGCGACCTCGAAGATCCCTAAGCAGTGAGAGAGACTATTACAGTACTAGGGTCACAGTGGCAGTGACTCCTAAACTGACTGCTAGACACAGGAGCAGGTCACCTCATGTGATGAGCACTGCTGAGAAAGAGGAGAGAATGATGGAGGAGTTTAAGAAGTGAGTCTTTTTATGTGACATGTATATACATGTACATTCATTACGTTGGTAACATACATGTACATGTACATGTATGTGTAAGCTCTATCTTATAAGAGTACATGTACATGTACATGTACATGTAGGTGTTGTACAAAATGATGGTGTTATAGTATGTACATGTATACTAATCAGGCTTTCATCTAGGATTTTATACAAGGGGGGGCAGGATTAAAAATATTTTAAAGAAGGGGGGTCACTAACAATTTCTATTGTGCATGCAAAAAATGTGTGGTCACAAAACTTATGCAATGTACTGCTGGGGTGATGAAATTTTTCATGTTAATAAGTCAATCAAGGGGGGGGGCGAGTGCCCCCCTCTGCCCCCCCCCCCTAAATGAAGCCTTGCTAATTAATGTACTTATATAGTTTTAAAAAGTTTAATATAGCAATTTTCTCCTTTCTCTTTTATGCAAGATACATGTGCATGTACATGCATATACTTATATCAAGTACATTATGTTAATAAGTTCTTTCTCTTTATTTCTCTCTCCTTTCCTCCCCCTCTCTCTCCCTCTCTCTCTCTCTCTCATTAGGAATCAGTTCAAGGCTCGTCCCGTTCCCCCTAATCTCTTCAAAGGTACTGATCAGTGTACTGCAGGGGTACCTCAGGTATCCACACTGAACAAGATACCACTGACTACTCCAGTATCACCTAATATCACCAAACCTGCTGCTAGTAAGAGAGACTTTTGTGATGAGGAGAAGGAGCAACAACCACAAGAGAAGAAATTTAAAGTAATAATAATATACG